TGCAATGGTTAGCTTTGAAAAAAATCAATGCAAAGATTCAGTTTGAGTAACCGTTTCAATGCAAAAACTCACTGAAATCGTTGATTTGAAGCTTTTGATCTGTGTTATGCTCTTTAGAAACCGATTTGAGTCGTTCAAATTCGATGTTGAATGCTTTAATTTGCTTGGGATCCCCTTTAAATCCCTTGAAATACCTTAGAGATTTTTCCGCTTCCTATTTTTTATGGCGTCCACATTTTCGTTATCATTAGCATCAAAATTGAAACAAAACCAATAAAAATGCTCAAAACTCTTACTTCAATGCGACCACGACGAAGGCAATACTGTGGTGTATTTGGTATGAATGCGAAACAAGCCACATAAATCAGTGGAATGGCAATGAAAATACACGGAACATACTCATAGTCGACTATAGCACCCACAATATAACCGCTCAAAATACCAATATTGACTAAGAGTGTGATTATTGAGCCCAATCTTCCTCGAATGCTATAATTTCAACCAAACTTTAAGTTTAATCTGTAGATTACATAAATTATAATTTGTTCATTGAATAAAGAAATTTTTTTCAGGGAAAACAAATATGCTCAAACCATCAATAAAAAAAACCTTTAAAGTTCACAATTTGTGAGCACTTCAAATATTTACTCATCGTTGGCAATTTCCGAAATGTACAAAACAATCGTAGCTTGACTTCCGCCGCCTGTCCATCCAGCGCAAATTTTTGCAATCAAAAGGTGATAATATGAGTTCCCAAAATAGATGAGTATCCAAAATGCGGTCGACGGGAAAGCCAATGAAATCATTGCATTTTTGCAGCCCAACAATTTGATAAATATTCCAGTCACAAAAATGCCACACAGTGCACTGAGGTTGGAGATCGACCCCAGCCATGAAATTTGTTCACTGTTCAATGGACCTTCGATGAGTGGAGTATCTTTTGATGTCAATTTTGCCAGGGCTGGTGAAAACCAACCCACCATGCATCCAATTGCGAGCGTTATCAAATTGGCTGTTGATGTTTTTTGAATTAATTCGTTGAAAGATCACCAATAACTCATAGCAAAAACAAAATTACTCTTAAAAGTTCATACCTGCTATGGCTGCATAGTACTGGGGACCGGTGCGCCATTTGAAATCTGTCTGTTTTGGTTCAGCGCACATTTTGAAATGATTTAAACGAGTTTGAAAAGTAATATTCAATTAAAAACAACAGCAACTAAATCTTAGGTGCTTATATTTTATCAGCTCTATCAAACTTGATCAAATTATTTAGGTCTCTTGAAACTAATTTGGATTGAAGAGCAGGAAAACATTTTCGTTAACCGACAGTTTTTGTAAGTACAAGTTCAAATGTTTATGACTTAATTTATAAATTTTGATCCGAATCAATGACATATATTTTTTAATCAAGATCCCATATTTTGTTCATTGTCCAACCAACTACAGTATCCGCGTATAAATTGCGATAACTCAACCAGCTCAGCTGGTTCAGCTGAGAACCGCACGTGTATCAATCAATCGTCACAGACTCTATGTCGTATGGAGGTGCGTAGCGCATGTTTGGCCACTGAGCGGTATACACATTACACAGGCACATTATCATGCGTCAACTGCGTGCGGTCTAAAGCTAGCTTAGTTATCGCATTTGTCTATACTATCAAAGATGCTTAAATCAATTAAGGCAATGACTACAATATTTATGTCTGATGAAAATCTTTTTCTAACAATCCACTTTGCTGTTCGACAATGTTGGCTTCATTTCTTCATTTGCTGGTGCTTTGTCCGAATTCTCCATTGAATTGGATTGATCATCACGATACTTCTTAGGAATCAATTTTCGAATGCATGGCGAAAGTAATTGTGTATTCAAATTTGTGAGATCTTGTCCGCCAGTCAGATGTGAAATCAGGATCGCAGAAATCCATGTAATGAGAACTCCAATGACTGGATACCATTGGAATGCAATTTTATAAAGCGCAAAGCCATCGGATGGTTTCTGAATTGGTGTTTGTGACGCTCTGAAATAGAAAGCAAATAAATTTAGTATTTTACGATCGCCGGTATTCAAAATGATGATTGCTTTAAATCGTTTGAAAGAATTTTTTTTCTCAGAGAGTGTATATTTGCTACAGGCCTGAGCTGAGATGAATTTGCCGACTCAGGCACTTGAAGTGGTATTTTAACGGATGGTGTTTCATTTGTGATTATATTCATGATGTACTTTATACTTACAATTCAATGGTGCCGTTGCATCCATCAGTCCGTGTTGGCAATATGTCATAGCGTAATTTACCTTGTGCTATATTGTACTGTGTGTTGATGACTAAAGACACAACAGTTACCATACTTATGATCATTCCGGAAAAGACACCCTTTGTATGAATTAACCGAAAGTCGAAATGATTTTAATGAAAATGTGCAGAAAAAAAAAACGTCTCAAAAAGACAACACTTACATATTTATTCGACGATGGATAAAGCATTCCCAATGAGAATGCACCAAAAATAGCTCCAATGCCCATACTGGCCAAAGTGACCGCCATCTGGAATACTGATTGAAATTTATCAACAATAACACCGCTCAAAATGCAGAAAACACCAATCAAAATAACGATCAGCCTACGGAAGGATGAAATCATTGTAAAAGGTAACACTCGAAATTCACTGTAATCGACGGACGAGAAATACGACTACATCAACGATATCGCTGCTCAATTGCGTCATTACCTCATTGTAAAGTTGGCTCTTGCATCAGTATGGACAAACCATTTCCGCGGACGAATGTAATCATTGTAAAAAATGCCCGACAAAGAGTGAAGTGCCGCCGATACTGTGCTCAATGATGCACTGAATACGCATGATATGAAGACACCTGATGCGAAATGGAATTTCGTCAACAGAGCATATATGCACAAAAATGCATTGAAACGAAAAGTGCCAGCCCAAAATGTGCTTTTGCAATACGGCTACCGCTATTTACCTAACATCCCCGTTATGTGTCCAGTTGTGTCTTGAACGAAGCGAGGCGTTAATTTATCATATTTCGAAACGATGTGCGCCTTTACGGGATCACAGTTGTAATAGTAAGCGTACATTATAATCCCAGTTCCGCATGTAGACATCATGAGAAATGCCACTCCAAATATTAGAATCAGCATCGACTTTTGTGCAGCCCGAACGGATGGTAATGACGTTAGACGTTGTACACAGCTTTGACTGAAAGCGACATTGCCAAGCCAAAGAATGAATAAACTGCTAACTGTATTCCAAAATGTCGTTCTTGTTACCAAATCCAATGTGAAACTGGGATTGAAAAAAAAATGGTTGAATATTTCATGTTGCATTGAAAATCGGATCAGCGAAGATTTGTTTAAATTTTGTGGTTAAAAATATTTAAATACATACTTTGGCGGAAAGATACGATCGCCATCAACCGCTCGATTCCACACTTCACCCAAGCCACCGACGTCAGATACACCAAACCAATTGACTATCACCACCGATGAAAGCATAATGAATCCTTGCAGCACCTAGAATTTCCATTTCATTGAATATTTTTATGGAATTTCGAATTTTATTCTTCCAATTTGATTTGAATCTCAACTCATACATCCGTCCATACAACTGCCTGTATTCCACCCAACATTGTGTATACAATGCACACACATGCAATCACCGTATTTACCACATGAATATTCTGTTTTGTCACTAAAAGTTATCAACAATTAAATGATCAAATATTAGAACCACCAACACAGAGGCATTTTTATTGCTTTTCACCTGAATAACGTCATCACTTACCTTCGACAAATGTCAAAGACGGAATAAACATTACAACGGGGAGATATAATAGCTGATCCACAATGTAGATGATCGTGACAAACTTACGAATTGCTTTGCCAAAACGGAGCTCCAGATACTGAAAAAAAACGGTTTTGAAAATGTTTCAAAAATTTTCATTGTTTCTTCAAATTTATAGCAATAAATTCATTGTAGTTCATATTAAAAAAAAAAGTATCAGGAATCGAGAAATGGGAAACCAATTGTGTTTATTTATTATTTATTTATTTATTTATTTATTATTTATTTATTTATATTTATTTATTTATTTATTTATTTTGTATACAAAAGTATATATACTCACAACATAGCAGTTATCTATTTTATTTTCATAATAAACGGGTAAAACGAAAAAGTTTATTGCCAGAGCCACAAAAACAATCGTTGGAATCACAAGCATATATTGCCATCCGAATGAATACACTTCGACGGGGATTGAAATAATCGAAACAGTTGTTATTTGACTACAAAAGAAGTTAATAAAAAAATAAAAGAATTCAACCGCAACCAAAGATTTAAATCTTAAGCAGCTACAGCTCAATGTATTCTCAAATGTCGATCTTGATTTGACCGACGTAATAAATTTTTTGTTCTTAATTTTAACACCAAAGACACACCTTGCAACCAGAGAAACACCGATTGGAAATGATTTCATTTTATGGCCACCGGCCAAGTAGTCTTCAGTTGTTTTATTGCTGAAAAATGCAAAGTAAACACCGATAGCCACTGAACATGACAATATCAACACAAATACACTGTAATCGAAGGGCGAGAAATAGCCCACTGCTGCAACGATATCGCTGTCATTCATTTTGTTGGAATTTTTTTTGGAATTTGTCAATGAATTTATTGAAAGATCTTCAAATTATTTCCAAAAATCGGAATGAAGGTGAAGTTATTCAAACTGCACAATTTCTTATCACTTCCTTATCAGTAGATGGTTCTATCAGCAAATCTATTTCTAGACGAGCAATTTAAAATACAATGTCACAAGACATTATCTAATTCTGCACCCTGGACTAAAATATACGTGTGTCGACACACGAAGTTCGAAACAAACTAAATCTCATTCTAAAGTTTGGAATCTAAACCGTGAACGATTACAATGTGTCTACCAAGAAAATATGCCGGTCGAAGTGTATTTTTGCTACGCAAGGGATTTGTACACAGGTGAAGCATTCAATTTGAGTGTAAAAATACATTAACACGTGATAAGTGTGTGGGGAGGGCAATAAGAGTGTTGAAAATTTATTGCAATTGAATATGTATCTCGTCAGCAGAAACGTAAATAGACATAGCATTTATTACAGTTTGTTATTGCAACTATAAAAGGAACAAAAGTGAACCAACAGCAAGAGCTTTTTTATTGCAATTTTTTAAAGTACACTGATCGATCGACGTTGGAACGGAACCACGTTATTATCGCCTTTTGAACGGCAAACTGTCCAGAACAAACGAAGCCTAAAATAGTAAATAAACTCTAACAATCCGCCATAAAAACAGTAACAGTGTATTTCTCCACACGTTTGACGGTATCGAATTGCGGACTTTTGTAGAATATTGTTATTCTCGATGCTCGTTTGCTAGAGATGGATACAATTTTAGAAAATTGTTCTGAATATCAATGGCATTTCCATGGCTACTCACTTCGATTCCGGTATATTTTGAAATAAAATGTCCGAGTCAAATTTAACGTGACTGATATATATAGACTGCGTCATGTTAGTAGATGTGCATACAAGAAGGCAGTTGCACTTATTGCAAAACGATTTTCCGACATATAAATTCGATTCATCTAGTCGAAAAAGTTTACTCTCAGCGGCTTGATAACATTTGATTATCGATTCCTCTTTCTCTCGCTACTGGAAATAGGTAACGATTAGGTGTCTTGGGCATTATTGTAGAAAATAAGAAGAACTACAAATAAGCCAAAGACGCCTAGTCGCCATCTATTTCAAGCAACAAAGAGAAAAAAAGAAAAAAAAAATTTCAAGAAAAATGCAAAAAAACGTCTTTTCCACTCAATACTGAGTTGTGTCAATTTTGCTCGCAACTTTATTTGTCTCTTTTTTGCTCTTAGTTTTTTTTCCGTCTCAGTTATGGATAAAGAGCTCATAAGTTGTTATTTCATTCTATGGGTGTCATATTAAGTCGGAATCGATTTCTATTCGTCAACGACCATATCATGTAAAAAGCACCAGTTCTCGTCCGATCACTGAAGTTAAGCTGCATTGAGCATGGTTAGTACTTGAATGGGTGACCGTCTGGGAACACCATGTGTCGTTGGCACTTTTCTTTTTTTTCTTCTTTCTAACCCATCTCTTTTTCTTTATTATTCTTTTTTCATCACTACATGAAATGTAGAGCTATTGGATTTTTTGTTCATTTGTGTAATGTGAATAAGCGAAAAAGACATTTTAATTTGAATAAATTCAGTAAGCGTTAAAGCGTGTTGATTTTGAAAGGCACTTAAGCATTTTAGCATTTTAGTTGAAATTGATTTGGGTTTTAGTTGTAGTTGTAGTTATTTGGTTTATCGAGTGAAAGTACACTGATCGTTCGACGTTGGAACGAAGCCACATTACTATCGCCTTTTGAACGGCAAACTGTCCAGAACAAACGAAGCGTGAAAAAATAAATAAACTCGATAATGCTTAGCGCTGAGATGCCCAAAAATAAACCAAGTAGACCCACCACAAATCGCCAAAAAATCGTCAAACGTGTACATCTTCACTCGCTTGACGGTGTCAACTTGATGACTTTTGTAGAATATTGTTATTCTCGATGCTGGTTTGCTGTAGATGAATACAATTGTCAAATTTATTTATAAAAAAAAATTGTACTTCAATTCACTCAATTCAATTCTGTTCAAATTGTTATTTATTCTGAATATCAGTGGCTTTTTTTTAGCATCTCACTTCGCTTTCGGTTCATTTTGAAATAAAATGTCCGAATCGAATTTAACGTGACTGATATCGGCATCGTATTCGATTGAAGGGCATGCAGGAAGGCAGTTGCACTTATTGCGAAACGATTTACCGATATTTAATTTTGATGCAATTAGTCGAAAATGTTTACTCTCGGCGGTTTGATAACATTTGATCATTGATTCCTCTCCACCACAGATTTTAGTTTTTATGTCTCCTATGGAAAAGGAAACACGTATAAACACGAGGAAAAAAGACATCAATCGAATTAGAAAACACAATGAAAAGAAAAAGATCAAGAAAAATTTCATGCATCCACACTCTCGCTTTGAAAATTGACCAAAAATTCCAATTCGCAGTTGTTTTGCGAGTAATTTTTGAAGAAACGCAATTGACGTTCCGATTGATAGAAACATTGCCGTTCATTTGGTTTGTATTTTTGGAGTTTCTTTGAAGTGGATATTTGCTTCGGTTTGATTGCAATACGAACGTCTTCAAACAGAGGGATTTGGAACGATTGCTGAGAAATCTGGAAAGTATCACCAGGAACGCTTTGCAATCATCATCCCGGGAGCCATCCTGAAAAATGTCAGTTTAAAATGGTTGAAAATATATGCTTCAAATGAATTCATTTATTAATTTATCAGTTGTTAAAATCGTTCAATTCCAAATTTAGATAGAATTGTTATATTACTTTTTTCTTCTAAGAAGAAATGAACAAAGGAAAATGAACAAAAATAAATAAATCGAATTAAGAAAGAACAGATGATTTTCAAATGATTCAAGTTGCTTACGCATCAGTATAAATTTCGTGGGAATTGACGCCATTGCAAGCGAAACAAAGACTTTCTTCTGTTAAAACTGGAATCGTACAATCTTCTCTGGGAATAAATTGATCTGGCCACTTGCAATAGAACCAAGTCTGTAAATGTGGCGGTGCAACATCCGCAATCACATCGTAGATGCATTCGCCCGTGAAACTATCTTTGAACTCGAAAAAATGGGGCAAATGTTCACACAGATGAATACATGCATTCGCGTTATTCTGAGGGAATATGAAGAAATGTTTTTAAAATGCATGGCCAAGAACATTTGGATTCCAAAAATCCATTTCAATATTCTAAACCTAGAATGAAAAATTGATAAAATTCAAGTTTTGTTATTTCCTTACTCGATATCGCTCACGGTCAATGGTAAGTGGAGTAACTTTGCCATTGCCACCGCAGACAAATTCAATTTTTGCCTAACAACTTTAGTTTCAGGGCAAATGGTCACCGTTGGAAAAATAAGTTACTTAATCACTTCTTTTTCACCAAAAACCGTTTTCACTGGATTTTCTTGCCATTCCAACCATATATTACTTCGAATCGAAGAGCTGCAAAACCAAAACGATAGCGCTATAGCAATAATCCACCATAGGTGCTCGCTCCAATGACGCTCGCGCTCGGCAAAGTATCGTACCCCATGAATTGTGCTATTTTTACAAAATACCTTTGAATATTTCTTGATTGGCTGAAAATTGTTCAACATAAATGAAAATACAACAAATAGAAACATGATTAATTATTCAATCATTGGAATGCTTGGGTAATCAAATCAACCTGAGTACTGCTTCGGATTCTCTTTCAATTTTCTCCTTGCTCTCATTTCATTCAAATTAAGCTTCATCTCGAGCCGAAGTTTTATCCTTCTGTTTTCACCTTGAGTTGACAATGGAAATAAAGAAGGGAGTTGTGTTGTTCAATGTTTATGCCCTGTCGAACCAGTTTTAAAATGTATGCGGCAGTAATTTGATCAATATTTATCAGATTGAAATTAAAAATGCATTAAAGACTTAGATTTATTTCATTGATATGACTGAATTGTGCAATATGTTTCAAGATGGAATGACTCATTTAATACCAATTAGTCGGTACCCAAATGAACCGTTTGCGGAGATATCCAGTGTACAGCGGAGCTGTGCGGAGTTCGGCGGAGATACCGTACATACGCTATACGTGTGAGCGAAAAAGCACTCTTTGCTGTGTTTACATTTCTATTGTTCAATACACATCTAAGTAGCCATGAGCGCACTGCTTCAGATATAGTGTATGTATGGCATCTCCGCCGAACTCCGCACAGATCCGCTGTGCACTGAATTTCTCCGCAAATGGTTCACATGGGTATTGGTTTCAATTATAGCATATTGCAACACGCAAATTTACGCGCACATCTAATTATCAAAACGAATGAATAATGATGCGACATGAAAATGGACTTTCGTTGTTTAGCCATGAATATAGGAAGAATATACACAGTATATATTATTGAATCCAATGCTTTGACTGGTGAATTTAAATACTGATAAATTTATTTTCCAGAATATACGTAAACATACAAAAATGGATCGATTTTATTTGTGCATAAAAAGAAACTACATTTGATTGCTTTGCCCTTGAATATATATCGTACATATATTTGACAAGTCAGTGTATCGTTTACTGAACACTTTCTGCAACCTTTCACTCTTTGCGTGCTTTGGTTTTTTGGAAATTATGCACATTTTTTAGACTTGGTGCGTTTGGCAGTGTATTTGGAGCGTTAATCGATAACCGGCTCAATGGTCTAGTGGTATGATTCTCGCTTTGGGTGCGAGAGGTCCAGGGTCCAATCCCTGTTGAGCCCAGCGGTGCACTTTTTTCTCAATTCCAAAGTTTAATATTGAAAGACTCTCCCTCCATTACCGTCTCTTGTTTCATTCTGACTACCATGTTTCATTCAAACAAAAACATGATAATAAAAATGTGGTTCATTTTCTTTTTTGGATTTTTATTGAATCATAGTGTTGACAATTGATGACCATGAATTTAATTTTCTTTTTACATTTCTTCTTCCTGGCGAAAGTTTCGCTTTTGATCCAGCATGAAATCGTCCCAAAGTTTGAATCCTTTCACAATATTGGCTACGGCGATGTTGCATTGAAGTAAGATTTTTCATCAGTTTTATTGGTTTTGTTTGAATTTTGATGCTAATGACACCGAAAATGTGGCCGCCATAAAAATAGGAAGCGGAAAAATCTCTGAGGTATTTCAAGGGATTTGAAGGGGATCCCAAGGAAATTGATGCATTCAACGCCGAATTCGAGCTAGATTACGGTGCATATTGGAACATTTTCTTAACTTTCACAGATATTACAGTCAGTTTTCATGGAGATGAACACCACAAGCTACTAGTTTTTTTACTCAGATATATGAAATATTTAGGCAGACCCACTTTGTTGAGCTTCTGAATGAGTATTTATGTTGTAAATTCACTTGTTAATGAGGAATTCATCATGAGGTATACTCTGCAAGGATAGTGAATGATTTATTCCAGAGATGGTTGATCGTTTACCGCAAGTGTATGGAAATGTGTATCGGTATATACTTAAACGTTTACCTTTGCGTTGAACGCGCGGAGCACATGCGTCAACTCATATTTTAGTTAGAGCGGACGCGTTATTTAACGCAAAGGTAAATCAATGTAAATATACCGTACTGTACCGAGTACAGTAAATTTAACGAATTGATATACATTTACTCCATCTCTGATTTATTCCAATAAACTTGCAGCAACAGAAAGCATTAGAATGAAACGTGAATAATGCAGAGTTAGGCTTAATTTGTGTGGTTTTCACATAATTTACCCTAGTTTTTCCATTGACCATATGTTCGTTTATGCGTTTTCACGATATTTATTATTAATTTTTGACTACCGACTGTTGATTAAAATTCAAATAAAAAAGCCAATCCAGTCTCTGTTTTAACCAATTACTTTAATGAATTGTGCCGACGTTTCGAATCGTGATTGGATTCTTCTTCAGGGCTGTTCATGCTAATCAATTCTGTCACAAATGATAATTCATTAACAATTTCAAATGGCCATTGTTAATGAATTATCATTTGTGACAGAATTGATTACGCATGAACAACCCTGAAGAAGAATCCAATCACGATTCGAAACGTCGGCACAATTCATTAAAGTAATTGGTTAAAACAGAGACTGGATTGGCTTTTTTATTTGATATTTATTATTATTTTCCATTAGCACAATTTCAAATAATGGTGCTTTGTTTTATGTATAAGGTTAGTTTATAGATGGGTTTAAGAATGCCAAAATAGTAGTGCTTAGTCTCCGCTCCACTCTACTCTATTCCATTAAATATTTGACCGAAATTCAGTGAAGAACCAATTAGCTGGCTAATTAGCCGCATCAGTGTATACTGGCTAACGAATGTGTAGACCAGTGAGAAAACTTCAGTAAGAACTGAACGCACTCATCTGAACTGATGTTTGTGACTGACATTTAAAACACCAGGTCAGAGTTTAAATTAAACCAAACATCGACATTTTTTTATTAAGTTTTTGAAAAAAAAAAATCAAATTATAAAAATGACTTTTAAATTGAAAATTAATTGAAATATATTAATTTTTTTCAAAATTTGTATGATTTGAATCAGAATACGCAAATCAAAAATCACTATACTTTAAATGTACTCATTTCACACAGAAAGCTGGCTAACGATTGACTTACACCAGTTGTTGGTGTAAGCCAAGGCTAAGACAATGCTGGCTAACGAAAAACCATCACTGCCGAAATTCGAAGGAGAATCTATGACTTTGGCCCACTCCACACTCTTTCTTAATTTTAGCTCTGTTAAATGGTCTGTCCAATAATTTATGCACTCTCTGCTGGAAGAACTACTTTATCGGCATAAATTATCATCTATATGTGTGTTAATATTCGCCGCATATTGCAATGTCAACTGAGTGGAAATGATTTTGACTTCAGCGAAATAGTCCATCATCGGATTATTTTTATCCATTTTCAAATCAATTCAGTAGCATTCAAATATACTACGACAACTCGCTGGAAATACAGTAAAAAGATGCAATACTCTCCAACGCGAGTAGTATAGATATGTATATTTCGTACAACCATAGACAACAGAGGGGGGATTCATTTTCATGTAAATGTGCGCGGGGATAAGCGGGAAGAATTCTATCCCGCATGCGCGAGGGGAAAAGGAATTTCCCCACATTTGCACCTGAGCGATAGAGGAAAATGAATTTTCTCCACCTATCATTGAATGAAATATAAATATCTATTTTTTGTCTACCATTTTTATGTTCAAATTGTCTAAATTGCCGGTATATCCTTTTTGTTAACAGGACATCAGTGTTGCCCTCTCTTCGCTCTCCAATACATGCACGTCGTGTGATGCGCACGCAAATCAGTTGTCAATGTACAAAGAATTACTATGTGGCATTTGTTGTGGTGTGCGTGCGAAATAATTTTCTTTTGGAGAATTGAAATTTTTAGTGTTAGTTCATTCTATGAACGATGACAGTAGAAACGACGACTTAAAAAAAGAGAGAAAAATAGAGAGGTGTTCATCATAATTTCTATGTTTTTTTCATCGAAATTCCATTTTCTGTTCCGTAAAATGTGTGGTGTGCATTGAACAACAAAAAAGTTTTAGGATAAATTGAAAACTATCAGCAACGACGAGAAAGAAAAAAACCGGCGAGAGTGAAGAGCATCCGATACAAACTGTTACTGAAGCAATTACAAGTCCGGAAAAGTGTCGATTTTTCAGATGGATCTTCTGAAAAGCTTGTATTCACCATTCGTGAGAAAGAGACGATCAACTAAAACGCAACAAGCAAAAATATTTCAATTGAATATTGATTGTTTTGATGAAATATTTGAATATTTGAGCGTGAAAGACCTGTATTCATTCGGTCAAACATGCAGGCGAATGAACAAAGTGGCCGGAGAATATTTTAAACGAAATTATCTATCGGCTAAAAAATATTATTATTATAATTATGGAAAAAATGGAATAAGAACCAAGACTTATTCAGCCTATTTTATCGATCAGTGGCATCACGGAATAGAAACCAATGGTTTCAATAACTTTATGCCAAGTGTTACATTTTACACTGATAAGAAATTAAAAAAATATTCATTTGAATCAACCAACCATATTCGTCTTAAGGAATGGCGACCTATCAATCACAAAAAAGTTAAGTGTTTGGTAAAATGGTTGCCCCAACTGAACATTTTACATATTAAACACTGTTCGGTGGATGGTGATTTGTACGACTTGATATTGAAACACTGTAAAAATAATTTGAAAGAATTTTATTTTGAATGTTCGAATTTTTCGGGTATTCGGGAAATCGGTAAGCTCAACTGGCTATTACATGAATATCCCAAGCTTGAATGCTTGAATTTATCCCCAATTTGTAAATTCTCAAGCGAAGTTCTCCGAATCGAAGAATTACGTGAATTTTTTGTATGCAATCCATATTTACAGAGATTTGCAACTGGTATAAATATTTTTTTGGACAACAGTGACATATTTTTGAGTTCCAATGCAAAATTGGATTTATTATTGATATACGGAAGTGATAAATTGTTTACGACTAATTCAATCCGACTTTTGAAATTATTAAATCAACTCCATGAGCAAGGCTTTTATAGGCGACTATACATTCACAACGGAGAACCTCATGTTGGACCTGTCTATGAATTTCTTGCTTCGGTCAAAGATCTCGAAATATTACACTTTTCAAAGTTTCAAAAGAGCTTAAATTTAGTTCAATTGACAAATTTAAGAGAAATAATTGTTAGGTTTGGATCCCTTGATATGGATGAAAAGGATTTGGAGATTTTAGCAAATAGTCTGACAAGTCTCAACCGTCTTTGGATTAATGGATATGATCGTCATATGAATATTGATGTAATTAGGCCATTTATCGTCGATCATTGAATTTGAACAAAATCAAATTCGTGCATCACAATCCAAAAATTTTGAATTTGGCAATGTTGAATGAGGAACGAGCTAACTTGGTCGGAGCACAAAAAATAACGCTTTATGTGCGTGGTGATGTCTTCTTACATACTAAATGGACGACCAGAAACGGTGATACGAATATGAGCTTCATCGAGGTGAGACGATCGGATTCAATTTATTGGAACCATAGTGGTTTTAGTCCAAAGGTTACCTGACGATATGGCCAACAAATAGACCTGAAATTCGATGATGGAATAAATCAAAGAAACGAACGTATTTTAGTCCTCCTAAAAATTGATTTAATTTTTATTATATTTTATTGATAACAATAATGACCTCATGTATTATTTTTCTAAGTATTTTCATATGACATGTATTAAAGATTAAATTGATTTTCTTACTTTATACGTCAAGAATAAAGTTGATTTAAACTTAAACTACTGTTATTGTTCAAATTGTTTTTGACTTATTAATCGTCTGTTGTTGTTGCTGTTTGTTGTACTTCATTTTCTTTTTCTATCCTTTTTTCACAGTTGTATAATTGGACGTCGTCAGTGCCTCTTATTAGATTACGGTATTCAAAAATGTCAACAAACTTCACGACATAGGAAATAACTGTTTTGTCGCTCTCTGGGAAAATATAATGAAAATCAGTACATAAAATAATTTTTATTAATGAAAAGTTTTTACCGACATTACAAAATAAAACTTACTTTTGGTGATTAGAATATCGTAACTTAGAATGCCGATGGCGACTAAATTGCCCGTCGTTTCATCATTTGTATTAAAATTGATTAGTGGAGCACCTACAGTGAATAAGAATTTCAAATAAGGAAAAAAAATAAAAAATTCACAAATACAAAAAAAACGCAGGTGAACGAATATTTTCCTTACCTGAGTCGCCTCCATAAACTCTATCTGTACCATCCATAAATTCACAACACAATTTATTATACGTTTCAAAGCATTTATCTCTGTTTTTACGGACATCTTCATCTTCATTAGTAACTTTTTTCATGTTTGCGCTTAACATATAATTCTTGAATCGCCTGGATCTGAAGTCTTTTTTTGTGTCTATTGAAATCACTTTGTAACCATCGGAATTATCGCATCCAATTTTTAATATACTTAATCCTTGTAAATGATTTGCCGCTTCTGCTTTTCTTGTAAGTATGCATATGTCATTTATGTAAGTTGTATCCATTTCATTTATAGACACTACTTGATAATCACTGCATTGTTTTTCAAAGTCGCTTCCAGGAATTTTTTGTCCAGAGTATGTGTAAATAGAAATGTCATCAGTACTGTTATCATAAATACAGTGTGCCGCAGTGATAATCTGAAATTCCTTTAATTACTGTGAATTGCCACAATATTAACTAAATATTAATTAAACCCACACTTCGTTCGCTAATTACAAAGCCTCCACTATAGTTTGGACTAATAAATAGTGACTAATAAGATACTTACTACTTATTACTAGTAACTTCTAATAAGTAGTAATAAGATGCAATCTTATTACTCTAGTAATATATCTAGTGAGTATAGTTATTAGAATGTTATTGGTCGA